AAATTACCAAGCTTTTTAAAGTTTCCGTGGAATCACAAACACTTTAAGTTTTACCAGATTCGGGTAGTCATACAAAATATTTTTTTCTCAGTGTAGACTTACATTTACACGCATAGGGCTTATTTTAATCAAAAACAAAGAATCTATTGAGCGTTCTCTAATAATTTATGATCCTTGCTTTGTATGCTATATCAGTAAAAGTGAAATAAACCCGAGTAGTTTTCATGACCTTTTTGAGGACGTTACTGCATTAGTATTTTGAAAGCCGTTAGAAACCACGTGTCTCCTTTGTTTACTGTTAAAACGTGTTTCTATGAACCTAAATAAAGTCAAAGAGAATTAAAAGAAAAAGAAATATAAAGTTAGGCAATAAAATGTTACTTTAGGAATATAGAGAATAGGTGCAGTAATAGTGTCTTTAATTGTTTGGTAGTCGTTTTGATAACTCCGGAATCATTTGTGCTACAATCCTGAAATTTTGACAGCATGCTTCAATTGGCAATTTTAGTCCAAGAACTAAAAAATTGTTTAAAAATTTAACATTACTTTTACTGAAGACACTTGAAATTAATGTTCATTTATCCTTGCGAAATATCTGAATATTAAAAACTCCCGCGTTCGAAACAAGCTTTAATTTTTTTATCCTTAATTATAAACCTTTACCTTTAAAAAAAGCCCCTTATCATCTCGCATGGTGTTTGTTTTTAATTGTTGCCTGAATAATTTGGTGAAAATACTTTTGATAAAAATACTATGAAGCGATTCTTCACTTTTATTTAAAAGTTAAATAAGTGACAATATTAGTATAAGTATGTAATATGATTTATAATGTAATCGAAATTTAAAGAAAAATGATTTTTTAGCCATTCTTATTTCCGCACTGGTTTGTGATGCCATTGTATCACAGTGTGTTTTAAAAGTTTCATTTCTAACGGTAATAATAAACAACAACTGGTAATTATGATTGTTTTTTTTACTTCATATGAAAAATAGGAATTCAGTAAGTTTCACAATAAAGCCTTTATTTTTACCCTACATGACGGTACAGTATTTTTCGGTATTTTACATCACGGTATTTTTCGTAGTTTCTAATGCATAAATCATTTATTAAATCAAATCATTATTAAATCAATATAATTTAGCAAACTGAAATTGATAAATTATAAATAATGAACTTCATTCTAATTAATAACTGTAATAAAATATACACCATAAGCCTACAGCTATCGCAATTGCAGTTTCATATAAATCCAAAACGTGTAATGATACAATATACAAAAAAGATTAAGTTCTACAGAATGTAAGACAATTTACGGCTCAAAAATTAAAAATAAGTTTAACTGAATAAGTTGTTCTTATGGCAATTTTCAAGATATCAAGATAAAATTATCGAATTTTACCACAATACCAAATTTTACAGCATATTATAAAAAAATATTTTACTGTTAATTTTTCAAAATCATTATCACAACTCTTCGTTAAAAATTACCTAGCTTTTTGATGTTCCCATAGAGCAAGAAACGTGATAACTTTTACAATATTCCTTAAACTTTGACCATGCTTTTCATGTTCAGCGTAGGGAATAAAAATACTAATACATGCATGTGACAATTGCATATAGAATATTCACTATTTTTAAAAATTTAATAATATAGTTGCGTTTAAAATTTTTGAACACTAAAGTTTACCAAAATTCGCTATCCAAATTTCCAATTCATATAATAGCCTAAATAAAAACAAAAACTAAACAAAACTCTTCCCTATTTGCCAGCTATATAAAGCTATCGTAACCGAAAAATTATATTTTATTTATAAAAACTCTTGCTCTATATACTGAATAAATAAGAAAAGTTTAGTAAATCCTCCCCAAAAAAATCCAATTTAAATTTACTAAAGTTTTCTGAAATTTCTGTTCCAAAATATCTCAAAATTAATAACTCTTAAAATATGAAGACGTATTTCTTTCCAAAAGATCAGAAACTAAAACTAAAAGTTATGTGTCGCTAATAATGAGACAGTGCTAGGATACGGGCAGACATGTCTGGGAAATAATGCAGGCGCTATAGTATTCCTGGCTTAAAGTTTGACAGTTTCTGTGAATATAATCCACACAAAAAATATATATTTCCCTAAGCGAGAATTATCGGTTTTGTAAAAAACGAAAATGTTTTTTACTTAATATATTACCTAGAGATAAAAATGCAATCAAAATCTGTTTTTTGATTGTTTACTATTGTTTACTTTCTAATTTATTTACTTTTGTCTAGAGGGTACACAAAAATATCAAAATGTTTTTTTTTTACGAAGATAGACTTTTTTTAAAAAGTGATGCAACTTTTATAAATATATTAATATGGCTTATAAAAAATAAATTTTACTATGTCTATAAAACAATAAAAATGGAAAGTGCGCGTGTGTGTACTTCTAATAAAATTGTTTGTGCTGGCAGCTGATTTCTCCTTTTTTTTAAACTTGATTTTTTCAAACTAATTTTCTGCGTATTTTAACAAAAAATATTTTCAACATATCAACTGCGTGTATTTTTAAAAAATCACTAATATTTAGCATTAAAAATTTTTAAAAAAAACATCTTAAGTGATAGAAATAAATGCATTAATCAAAGTAATGAAAATATCACTAAAACTAATGATATTCAATAAACTATGATATTTTTTCATTTAAAAATGAATTAAATGTTTTTTACATATTAATAATAATGGAGGCATTGTTAGTATAATTAAAATTTCTGGTACATTTGCGCTCTTAGTGTAACTGGAATTACTCCAGAGATTTCAAAACAAACGCTTGATTTATTACTGAGTATTTTTAAAGTTAAACAAATATGGCTATATCAACTAAAAAATGATACGCAGTTTTTCCCTCTAGAGCAGGGGTGTCAAACTCAAAAGCTAACTTGGGCCAAATAAACAATGCTTAACTTTAGGCGGGTCGCAAAAAAAAAACAAAGAAAAATCAATGTTCATAGAAAACAAATATTTTTATTTTGAATTGTAATAAACATATATAAAGTTAAATTATTGTTTACGTCCTGATACTTGACATCTCTTCTCTGCTTCTATCTTTTTTATTTCGGGAGAAATTTTATTGACCGAGACTACTTTCAAAATTGACCGAACGTGCGGGCAAATAATACGGTTTCGGACAGGAGTTTTATTTCCATTCATAACAGAAAATTATTGCTCTCACTGATAAGTACTTCCAAACATGGAAATAATTTCATATGCGAATTTTCGAGTATTTTCAAACCTTGCCGCTAAATATTCGTAAAATTCAGGCACACCCACTTCAATGACTTTTGCCTTCAAATTTAAGTCGCACTGAATCTCAAACACTTCCATTTGCATGTAACTGGGTACTGAGTCTATAATCGAAGAAAACAAGCAAAATTTGTCTTCCAAAGAATTAAAATCTTTAAACCTTGTATCAAATTCTGTTCTAAGATTTGAAATTTTTTTCTGTATATTTTTGATACGATACAGTATCATCTAAACTAGATTTGTTCTTGTTGCACATTGGGAAGTGAGTTAAATCGTCACTTTTCAGTTGCCTTTTCCAAAGAAATAGTTTACATTTGAATGCTTTAATTATGTCAAACATGCTCGTAATGATCTGATCATTGCCTTGTAACAATAAATTTAAATCAGATAAGTGTTTGGTTATATCAGCCATAAAAGATAAATCGTGCAACCATATTTGATCTTAGAACAAGCTTGTATCTTGATTTTTAATTTGTAAAAACTTACATATTTCTTCTTTCAAATCCCAGAATTGCTTGAGAACCATGGAGCAAGATAACCAACGTAACTCGCTATAGTAGGCTAAACCTGAATATGCACTATCTAATTGATAGCTTAGTGTGAAACGGACTCCATTTCAGCCAATTAGAATTTCACATTTTCGTGCGTACGATTTAAAATGATCCATATAGTTTATAAATAAAGTATATTATAATTTTATATGCTGGTTTCGTTTCTAATTCACATTTCTATTTTATTTTTACTTTGCTTCGGATATATTGACTGGGCCGCAAAAATATTAACCTCGGGCGCATGCGGCCCACGGGCCGCGAGTTTGACACCCCTGCTCTAGAGAAACGACGAGTTCCGTTTTTATATGATTATTTTTGTAATTATTAGGTTGGACTTAAGGGTCATCGGACATCTAATAATAACTCCGTCCTAACGTCAAGAATTTTAAATTATCAGTAAATAAATAGTTGCTAGTTACTAACGGACACCGAACATGGGAAGAGATCCAAAATAGACTAGTTATCCATGGATAATATAGCCAAAAGCAAAGCCGTCCCCTCGCTATTATTATTTAATAAATGATGAATTAATAATAAATTTTAAAAATTTTAGGATAAACTTAATTTAAAAATTTGATTAATCTAGCCGCTTAAACTTTAAATAATTTAACTACATCTACATCACCAAAAGAGCTTGATAATTTATTAAAACCCAGTAACCGAAATATTTTTGTAGTTCGAGAAATAAAGCAGCTTAAGAAAAATAAATGAGTTAAAAATAGATTTTCATATTGGAATAGCTACGACCGTGAATTAATGAGTTATTCACTTGCAAGGAATTAAAAAGTACGCCGTTACATTGATCGTTAGAAAACGAATAAATGTATTTATATTCACTTTTAATAAACTGTGAGTAAATTTAAATAATTCATTTAAATGAATCATAATAAGATTAAGAATGATTAAAAAAAATTAAATTTATAAAATTAAATAAATTTTAAAAGCTAGCAAATATGTAATGCCTATAAAGGCATCATGATTGATTCTTTCCAAAAAAAATAGAACAAGCGTATAAAAACAATCCATTATAAGTATTGATCGCAAATTATAATTCAGTATAGCCTTAACCTATATTCTGTGAACAATACTGCTAACTTTATTATTAGTAGATTTTCCTATTAATGTGAAGATGCTAATTATTATCATTAAAATGTTTTTTAAATGCTTATAGCTTTCAAAATCCGGCAGCCAATCTGTTTATTTACGCCACGTGGATCTGAATAGTGCTGGTGTATACAGATGTGAAGTATCAGCAGAGGCTCCAGAATTTCAAACAGTAGAAGCTGAAAAGCCGATGAAAGTATTCGGTATGAATTTATTTTCTATTTAAAGATTTAGGGCATTTACCAAGTTAGATTATGTATTATTATGTAAGTTTCCAAATTTAGGGAAATTTTTATGCAAATTTGCAGACTTATATCTACAACTTTAATAAATTTCAAATATATGTTTGTAAGCGGAAGAACATATTCTGGTCAAATTGCCGTACTGTATGGGTATGACATTTCTGGTTTAAAAAAACTATGTTGCTTATACGAACCAAAATGTACGGTTTTTGTACCATTTATTTAGAAAATATTCCATTCATATGGCAACGATTTACAAGTAATTCTGTTTTTTAAAATTATAGTTCTTATTACCATACATTTAGTAAAAGATACAAAACAAAACTGCTGTTTTTGCTATTGCGGTCATTATAAATTAATCTCGATTTCAATGCAACGTAATTGACTACATCTATTGTAAATATTTCAGTACCATTTTTATACCAAAAAATTCACCAAACTATTTTTTTTTCCTTTTTTTTCATATTTATTAAAATAATGTTTGTTATTTTAAGTTAGATGATACTTTACTAAGTTTTGGTGATACTTTACAAAGTCTTTTAAATTAGGTTCCTTTTAGTTAGGTAGACGCTCAATATTCAAAAAACTCTTTCTGGTTTGTTTGTTTTTTTCGTGTAACTAATATTTCAATTTAATTTTTATTGAACTATATGCCTCAGATTTAATTCTTCTATATTTTTCACCCAAAATATCGATCTGGTTGGTAAACAAACTCTATAACAAGAAGGAACTAAATACTTAAGAGGTAATAATATGAGTGATAAATAAAAAATAAAAATTAATGGTTTCATGATTTATTAAAATATATGGTTTTACGATAGAATAAAAATAATTATCTCGTAACAATTACTATGTCCATCAATAAATAAGGTGCATGAAATGTAATTGGTATACAGCAAAAATTCCCGTATCAAATTACGGTAAAAATCCCTTGCACTCAGGGTGGTGGTACTTTTTACCGCAAAGCCAATTTTTACCTTAATATGTTACGGAACAAAAAAATCTGATATACCGTAATTTTTGCAATAATAATTACCGTAAAATAATAAAATCACTCCAATTAAATAAATATTATTAAAGGTTTGCGAAATTAAACTAAATTATGAAATTAAACAATAATTATCGTAAAAATTAGGAAAATTTAAAACTATTGAATAAATATTACTGTATAATATTTATTGGATTTTAAGGTGAAATGAATTTTACAGATTATGCACTCAAAGTGCCAGTACTTTATACCGTAATTTGATCCGGAAATTTTTTAAAATGTGTATGTTGAACATTTATACATAAGTATCAAAGATAATTTTTAAATCATGCACCTGGTTCAAAAGTTTTAACTTAATCAAATTTGCACAAAAAGTCGAGCACGTTCTCAAATAAATCTACAAATTCTCATAGAAATTCTACTTAAATACTTTTGCTGAATTATTATATCAATTAAAAGCAAAGTATACCGAATACGATTAGAAATTATCATGTAAATTAATCCTTTAAGAATATTATTGCATGCTATTATAATACAGTTTGAGCAGTTGCAAGATAATATTGTTCAAAATACTATCTTAGGTTTATAAAGAAAATAGTTTTCTTGAAAAAATAATACGAAGCATATGCCATTTATTTATTATGCATGAAAAAATCTTTAAAATAATATTATTATATAAACGCTAGAATAAAATGAATAAGCAACTATTATCGATAGAATCTTTATAAAATTTGTGTAGATGTAGTAAAATTTCAAGAAGTTTTTACTAATTCCATTGTTTAGTATTAAATCCATAATTTGGTCGGACTCTATCAAAACAGATGGGAAATAATCAGCAACTATTAAATTGAAGTTGATAGTCGCAATTAAAACTAGCAATAAAGAATGCTTGATTAAAATTCTCTCAGTTGCTCAGTTGCTCAGTATGCTTATTTTAATTTCTCTCAGTTATTTTTACATATAACAACAAAAAAAAACTTTAAGCTTCCTCATGATTAGTATACAATTAGACGTATATTTAACATTTTTATTACAATTAATTTATAGTTAATTGAGACTTATTTCAGATTTTCAAGATAATTAATTTATCTCAATAGAATTATAAAGGAATGTTAGAAATAAGTCTTCAGATGTTAACTGTAAAAAAAGTAACAATTTTAAACAAATTAGTTAAAATTTACCCTATCTTAACAACTTCTATGCTGTAAATATATGTTTCTCCTTAAAGTCATATAAATTGAAATTGTTTCTAAACTATGAGTCAAAGCACTTATGCGTTCTCTTTATATTTATTTCACAGCAGTTTAATGGGACCTGCTTAAAAGAAACTAAAATTTCTTTTAATATAAGTACTTAGATTTATGAAAAATTAATGACGCTATTTGAAAGTAAATTAAGGTTTTGCATGAAACAACATGTTTTATGGCTGATTATTATAATTTAAAACTTTTTTATGACTACACACATATTTTTCTCAAGACCTAGTTGTCGTAATTAAACAAAATTGCATATTTCTTCAATTTTAAATTATGCTAGAAAAAGATCTTACTATACATTTCGAAATTTCTAGTCGCATTTAATTAAAATTAACTGTTAAATATTTTGATAATTTAAACTTTGAAAACAAGCTTGAAATAGCTATTGAAACTAATAGTTAAAAACAAATATTTTATTCATTTTTAAAATGAAGGGAAATATGGCTATCCACTATAATAGGTTTCGAAAAATATCTAGGTTATTTACTCTAAAGTTTTTTTATTTTAACAAATACGTATCCTCATAGTCCTATATTTCAGTTTATTCCGTTATAAGTTGAACAATTTTGACTAAAAATACAAAACCCTTTTGCGCTTATTAGATTGCTTTTTTTAACTATTCCTAAGGAACGAGATTTTTTTTTCAGTTTATTATAGACAATAGTTTTAGTTGATTTGATATTTCTGTTAAAGTAAAGAGACACCAATAAAGTCCTTGCGATTGTCTGGTATTTTTCATTGCGTTTATTTTCAACTAGTACTGACCCCAAATGATCATTCGTCCCGAATGATCAATTCTACACTTTTAAAAATTTCTCGGTGAAAATGGTTAAATAGCAATTTATTCAATTGTTAGTTTACTATATTCAACCGAAACAGTCAAATAACAGTAAAAAAGATGAGGTTAAAACTCTTTATGGGAAGAAAAAAAAATTTTGATTGTTCCTTACTAATACAATTTTGCAACCAGAATTGTATACGTGCCATCTGGACCCACCTTATGGATGAACAGGGAGTTGAATTTCAGCTTTTATACTACTATATTTCTTCCATTGCTTCAATACATGAGGAGTTTCCTGTGTCCTGCACTTTTCAATTGGTGACCCTGGACTATTATAATACGAAAATGTCATCCACGCGTAAATAAAGCAGCACCCACAGAACTCCAATGTTCGTTTAAGTTTCATTTTGATGGTTCAGAAACTGTGTCAGTTTTAAGTAGTTACAAAAACGTATAGTATTATATTCACGGTTTTTTAAACGTAACGGTTGTAAACGGTTTCAAAACCATTATGGTAAAAATTTTCTTAACCTAACTTGATTAATAGAATAGATATACTGTCGTCGGTCATTTTTCCCTAAATTTAGAAAACCTTCAAAAAGTGTGGTACGTGCGTGCACTAAACTACCATAGTTTAGGTGGAGTTGTAGTATTTTAATAAAATTTAAAAGCTTATTGATGGAGCTGCAACACTGAATAATTTACAAAAATTATTAAAATCAATGTAATATCGGTAAAACTAGTTAATGAGTTTATGTATTACGTTACATCTAATCACAATGAAAGAACTAATCCGATCATAGGTTTTATATATTAATGTGTCAAATTTTACCAAATAATAAATATTTTCTTCATATGTTACCTTTGCTGTACTAGCCAGATGTACTACGCATAAATTTCATTGGCGGAAAGAAGATAATCCACAGATTCATGCAGCATCTTAAAGCATAAAACGTCACAGAACTTTTTATTTTATTTTAGAACCCTTTCACCTCATAAGTTACATCCCCCCCCCCTCACTTCGAAACGGACGCGGAAGTCTTGCTTAAATAATCTGTACTCAAATTAGGCGATGCTGTTTAACTAACTCGTTAAAAAGCCTTCACATTAATAGAATTCGAAAATTTGAGAATAAAAAACTATTCTTAACGTGAGTTCAAGAAAATATTATTATTATCTCAATTCTGCATAAATGATGTAGGCAATCTATATCTTAATAATTATGTATCTTATAAAATATGCAACCCTTTGCTTGTATTAAACTTTTGTTCAAATAGTTTATTTTCAAAATGTTGTTTTCTCTACAAACTTAATCGAACAAATAGAATTTTTGGCACTTATCGCTCATTTAAGTTTCGGTAGGATTAGATTTATGCATTTGATCCTAAAACTTATTACTTTTTTATTCGATGCACACCAATGACTGACTCTTAAGTTATAGAGAATAAACATCACCATCTTTATTTTTCTGAATTTTTATTAAAATATATAATTACAACATGTTAGTATGCGTATGATTTAACGTAACGTGTTTATTTTTTTATTGTCTAATATGCCTTATTAACTGATTCACGTTTTAAAAATTTTATCTTACAGTTCTGCCAACAGAGGGGCCTAGCATAACAGGTGGACGCTCTAAGTATCGACTTGGAGATACAGTTTCAGTTAATTGTACTTCTTCTAAGTCTAAACCTGCAGCTACTCTCAGATGGTACATTAATGACGAATTAGTAAGTATTTTGCATTTATAATTTTGAATTATTATTACAAAGAATGACGTTCTATGATTACAAATGATATCTTCGAATCTTGATTTGAATGGTTTTTCTGTTTTTTAAAAAAAATCAGGATTAGAGAGTAATTGATTATTAATTCTGTCGAACTTTTCCCCGGAAATTGAACCTTTTCTGCCAAAGTTCAATGCAAGGACTTTAATGTAAATGATTAATAAATTTGCCATGCTTAACCCCGAAAACTGAACATGTTTCGCCAAAGCTCAACAAAAGGACTCTAACACTAACGTTAAGCTTAGAAATATGATTGAATAAAAAAGTGAAGTCTTGTAGTGATTTTATTTTATTTTATCCGTCGTTGAACAGCCGGCCCAATTTTATGGGTTTACGACTACTCCTGTTCAACTCCGTAGCCTTGTAATTTTGAACCCAATCCAGAAGACAAGGGAACTCCTGGATCGAGTATTGGGAGAAATTTGCCTTCGTGGAGAACTTTTTGATAAAACTAGCCCTCATTTGCGTTAGTTGGATAGGAAGATCACGAGATCCACCCACGGTTAGCCTGACGGCAAGGGGACTCTAACCCATGATCCGTCTACCACTGAGGATATTTCACGTCAGCACTGTGGTTGGTCGGTGCATGCCGGATGCGGAATTCGTAGGCTCTCTTGCAGTGGTTGGTGTAAACTACACACTGATCACTTGACTGAGTGAGTACTATTTCTTACAGGCTTTTCCAGTCCTAACATTCCCTGTGGCGGCTTGCCTATGCAAGGTATTCCGTAACCACCGCCCGTAATATTTATATTGACAATCCTTATGAGGAATAAAGTAAAAATTGAATGCACACCAAAGATGTGAGTTGACATTTAATATTAGATTCATTAACATTGGTTTCATAGACTGCCCAGAATACGTCAATACTTAAACTTTTAAATTGAAAAATATAGAAAGGCTAACTTCTAAATACTTTCCGAGACCGTTCGACGAATCTTTATGAATAGTGTATTCCTTTTGCATGTTTATGAATTTAGAGTTAAATATGCATGAATAAAACACTAGAAAAATTCTAAATCTCACGGCGAAATACTAAAGAAAGCAGGACTGAATATATAAAATGTTGTCAGCATAACTGACTTTTGTTTTTGTTATTATATTTGTTTTTACTTTATAGTAAATACTCATTTTTTTCTTTTTTACTTTTTATCAACTAGATAGCTTGTTTTGTTTTATATAGATAACTACTTGTTTGCTTTAGTTTAAAGTAGAGCACTGTTTCACGGAAGAAACGAAAATATTTGTCTTACGGAAAATTTTTAGTTATTGATCACAGATATAAGTTTGCAGAATTTATTTTATTTCATGTATTTGAATTTATAACAAAATGCATAAATTTTCTCAAAAGCAGTGAAAAAATTTAAAAAGAATTATTAACTTTTTATGGGATTACTCTTTACTTTTAATGAATTTAATTAGCTAAAAAGTGAACCCTCCAGATTTAAAAAAAAACGATAATAATTTTTCCAATTTTATTTTATTTAAATTTATTTGCTGCTTTTTTTTAATTAATTAAAATATGTTGTATTGAAACTTTTACTTTTTGCATTAAAAGTAACTTTTATACTAAAAAATATCTGTTCTAGTATTTCATTAATTTTTATTCTCAAACTAATAAATTATTCAAATTAGATAAACTGACTTTTTATTCGTACATTTCAAGATTTTTGTTAATGCCATTACTATAATTAATATCGTTTGTATGGATTAAGTTTGATGATTTTTTGAATGTTCACTTATTTGAAACTTCCCAAACAGAATTTAAGTAGCCTTTTTAAGCAGTGATATTCAAACAAACAAAAAACTAATTATGTTTTCATAAAAACAAATTAATGCAATGTAAAAAGAATTATGTACGAAAAAAAATGTTTGTAAAATTCAAATATTTCGTTCAGCTATTTTGTATTTTATATTTTTTGAAAAAGATATTTTTGTTAAATTTATTAAAGTCATATATTTTTCAATGCAAAATTTTTCCATACAAGATTTATTTTAAAATATGCAAATTACAAATTTAAATATTTCAGTAAATTATGTTTTGTTACTAGTAGATGCATTTATTTCATAATACAAAATAGGCATGAACGCTCTGTATGCATTTATTATATTTTGGAGCTTAGTTTGTTGTATCTAAAGAAAATTGATTTTTGATTGATGCATTCGTAATGCCAGTTTAAAATAAGCCTCTATAATATCATTGGATCTAGATTTTACGGAAGAATAATTATCGTAATAATGGTAATGTTCCACCGTACCTATGCGTTTTTGTGAGGAGGCATTATTAAACATATATATTAAAGATTTGCCTTATTTAGTGAGAATTTTATAATATTTTTATTTCATAAAATGAAAAATCACAAAATAAAGATATGCATTATTTTAACACGAAAACGATTATTACGATTTGATTTTATAATTTAATAACGGTCACACTAAGGGGCAAAACCGCTAGTCTTAACACCAAGAATTTTAAATGGGCAGTAACTGAATAGTTCCTAATAGACACGTTATGAATTTAGTGATTTAATGGTAAATAAAATAGCAAAAAACAAATAAAACCCGACATTATTAGTATTAAACTTTAAATAATCTGGCTACAGCTTAGTCACCAATAAGATCGTAAGAATTAATATAACCCTGTAATTGGAATATTTTTTGTGGTTAGAGATATAAAGTAGCTTAAGGAATAAAGAGTTAAAAATAGATTTTGATATTCGATTCAGTCACGACAGTGCATTAAGAAGCTATATATTTGTATTGAATTAAAAAGTTAGCTATTAAATTGATTGTAAAGAAAAGAATAAAATATTTATATTCACTTTTCGTAAAATGTGAAAAAATTTTAATGGTTGCTTTATTTAATTAAAATTAGCTTAAGAATGCTTAAATGAATATATAAAATTAAAGAAATTAAAAGTCAGTGAATATGTAATGCCTATAATGGCATCACAGCATCAATGATATTTTAATATTACAAACAATATTATGCAATAGTATTTGATAAAAATTAGTATTAGGTTAAAGGTTATACTTATGTAAACTACATCTTATTTAATATTACTTTTATGTATTTCTTTTAAATCATAAGATTTTTCATGATTTAAGTAATTCAAAATTCGCGTGAAATTCAAATACCGTGACATTTATACAGTAATATAAAAATGAAGAGAATTGACTGGCAGTTAATTCTTTTCAAAATTACTTCATACGTGAAGTTTGGGACATACTGTTTTAGTATTTTTTCTATATCCCGTAAATTAGTTTAATAATTACTACAACCGAGATTGTGGACTGATTCTTTTTGTGGTTTAAGTGACAACAGCATTTATAGTTGTTAAAAGAAAGTTAATTTTAACATTAATTTCAGGCGACACCAGACAATGAGTTGGAACATTCTACAACGTTGCATGCAGATGGATTAGAAACTTCAAGTTTAAATTTGAGATTTGCGGTGAATGATCAACATTTTAGATCAGGGAATATGAAATTAAAATGCACAGCCACCATTTCTAGGGTGTACACAATGAGTAATGAGGAACTGTTCTTTGGATCCGGTCTGCGCCAACAAACATCCGGACTCCATATCACAGAAAATATGAGCCACGGTAACAATCTGTTATATTATTATGACTGAATGAACTCTTGTTATGTACTTATCGCCAATTTCTTTTCAGAAAAAGTTAGGGATATTAAAAATTGAAAAAGCTTCAAAACATATCTGTAGTTATACGTACTGATAATAGAAAATGAAAAAAAGATCTAAATAGAACTATTGGCACCTAAAGTTAAAATATAGGAAAATGTGTATTTATAATTTTAAAAGAGATATGGTAAAATAAGCTACTTAATTTTATATAACATACAGACTAATAATATATAACAATTTTTAATATAAAAAAGATTCGATGACTATATTTTTTTTCATTTATTTTTAATATGTTTCCGATAAATAAATAAAATTTACCATTAACATGCGAAATCAATTTTTGCCATGGCTTAAAATTTATTATTATATTTATTTAATATTTCAATATACAAATAAGTACAAGCACAGTATTCTACTTCATAATCTATAATCCAATGCAAAGGGGAAAATAAATATTCAGCGATCTTCTTTGCTATTTGTAAAATCATGCGTAATTGAGTTTTCTGAATTTTCGTAAAACTAAAATTAAAAAATTTATGTATTTTATATTTTTTATGCTATTTATTAGTGTGTCTTAAATACGAGTAACACTAGTAGAAATTAATGGAATATTGATAAGATCAAATACATATATACTTCCTTAGTTCGTCTCAACTAAAGTAACCATCAGTAAATTTTCCTTAAAAATCCTATTTTCTAAATTAAATGAATACGTAGGAATGCATTAAAGAAAATCAAATCACACGGAGTCCGTAATCACAGCATTAGATTTTATTAGATTTATTTATTGCTTTAAAAGCTATCTTTTAAGTACCTTTCTTTTTGCTACAATTTGAATAGCACAATAAGAAGAGGCAAATAATGGTACTGAGAAAGATATTCCCTCTTATTTTTCATTCCAGTTCATCGTGCCTCTCCGGTATTGTTGAGGGATAATAAAAGTGGCATTTAGCACCGCCAGCTAATGATTAAGGAATCTTGATTATACTGTCGTTCCCTGAATCTCTAAATTCCAACGAGATACTTAATCAAATGACATCTTGCGTTTGCGCATCATTTTGGAGATTTGCCTGTTTGTTACCGTCTAGGCTGCGTCTAATTTTTGTTCTGTTACTCTGTTTATTACCTGTTTGTTAACAGTTCAAAAATATTCTGGGTGTAAAAAAAGTGCAGAAATGGTCAAATATCTCGAGAAATATATAGCGAATCAAAAAAGTGAAAATGGTCACATTAATATTTTTTTAAAGCTATCTAGTGATACCGAACTCGATTTTCACTTAGTACTGCCTGACGGTAAGGTGGGGAGCAACTTTGAAATCTTAAATATGAACACTTATTTTTTATTGCAGATTCGGATTATCCAAAAAAATAACCTTATTTGAATTGTAGGTTTATGCATTTTGCTTTATAGGTGGCGCTGTAACCGATAAAGTTTAAATATCGTTCCATAGACTTTCCATATAGGTATTCCATAGACTTTGAAGAAAACCTTTAGGAGAGACATTAAAAACTTCCACCAGCGATTGGACAAAACTTTGACCCAAATGCAAATAAGTAATCAAGAAAAAATATCAAAATAAAAAATATTAACAAAACAAATAGGTATATTAAAATTTATTCAAAATTTTTAAGATTGGCTCCTGGTAAGAGAATTCTTTTTAACGATTTCCGGAAGAGATCGACAACTTCATGCTTCAGTCAAAGTATTCTAAACAGGATCAATAATTTTATAATTAGAGTTGAAAGTTAAATTAGAAAAATAAAGTTATTTTCGAAAAAAAATCTAAGTATTTTAAGCAAGCAGACCTCTTCTCATTTTTTAAGGTTTACTAATTTATTTGACATAAGATAAAATGCAAACTTAAACAAAAAACACAATTTGTAATTTATTCAAAATAGTGTCATTCAAAATTGGTAAATTTGTTTTTACACTTCCCAGTAAAGGTCATTTTTTACGCTAAATTTTATTCATCGGTCCAGTTTTTATGACCTCAATATAAGTGACATTTCTGCACCAAGAAAATAACAGGGAGTAAAATCAACATTTCGAAAATTCATGTACCTTCCATAACATTTTGAAATCAATAAAGTTAACCCCTAAGAACGACCTACCATTAACGATCATTTTACTATGGAACAGAGAGTAGTCGCTGCCAAGAGATTTCACTGTATATCAGAGTTTTTAGCTCCATAACATATTCCGGTAAAAATGGATTTTACGGTGAAAAGTACCGGCACTCTGAGTGCCGCCGGTGTATTTTACGGTAGTTTGATCCTGAATTTTTTACAGTATAGGAATGAATCCAGGACATTCATGAAAAAAGATCAAGATAGTTTGTTAGTATTTGAGAAGATGGTGGGAAAAAAAATTTTAATTGTCAAGGAAAATGGAGTCTTAAAAATTAAAAGTATTTCTGTAATCGTGTAAGAATATATAAACAATTCAATTATGCAGTGGTGGCCAAAAGTGTGGACATTTTTTGAAAGTTTAATGTCTTTCAACTTTGTGTGCTTGTAGAATATATTAATTCTCACTTAAATACAAACGATTACATATCAAATTGAAGGTAATTTAATGTAAAATTTAATAATAAGTACAGTATTACAATATCTGTATTACAAAAAAAGTCATGCAACTAATAGTAAGATCCATCTTAGACTTGCATTTTTTTTAAAGTGATACTTACACAATCAATGCTTAGTAGGATAACCCTTATTTTTAAAAACAGCTTCACAGCGTCTTTCCATCGAGTGAACGAGTTTTTGGAGTTCATCTTTCGTAATCACATGGTGCCAAGAAACAATTATAGCTTCAATAAGTTGTCTTTTATTGGATGAACGCTTTTTTCGTACAAGAATTTTCAAACGTCGCCACAAATTTTCAATAGGATTGAGATCAGGGCTGTTTCCCGGCCATGGTAATATATCTATGCCTTTATTTTGAAACCATGCTTTGCATACTTTTGCTGTGGGGCATGGAGCTGAATCCTGCTGAAAAATAAGTGGTGCGTTGTTGGGGAAGGTATCAATTTTGGTTTCAGGACAGTTTCGATGTATTTTTTGGCATTCAGGATGCCATCAATCACTTGAATTCGGTCCACACCATCTGCAGACATACATTCCCAAATCATGACATTTGTTGGGTTTTTTGTAGTTGCTTCAATGCAATCAAGATGAAGTGCTTCACCTACTCTACGTCTCACGTATTTTCTACCCTCACTAACAAAGAGCTATATTTTACTCTCATCGCTCCAGATTACTTGCTTCCATTGATTTTCTGGCCATTTAATGTGTTCTTTTGTCCACTTAACTCGTTTTTCACGTTGCTTTTGATTTAAATATGGTTTTTTCCTTGGAATTCTAGCTTGTAGTCCAAATCCTGATAACTTTCTTCTTATTGTTCTTGAACTTACTGCAATACACAATATTCATTTCACATCTAATGGCATCTGGGGAAATTTTTCTATCTTGAAGACATAGCCGATTAATTTTTTTTTCTATCGGCAATAGCACTTGTGCATTTTTTTCGGCCTGATTTGGCTTTACTTTCCACTGATTTCATTTTTTCATAACGTAAACAGAACTTTCGTACACCAGAACAAGTCACTGAATCACCAACTTGTCTTGCAATTTCAGCATAAGAGAGGCCATTTTCTCTCAATATGACGATTCGGCTTCTTTTTGTAGATGTCCAATTAGTTCTTCTTGTTGATGACATTGTTTAAAATTTGTTTAATTTGAAAAAGGATTTAAAATATTCAAAAACAGCAATACTCTATTTAATTGTACTAGTATGCATCATTCCGCACTTTTACCATCCAAATAACCTAAACTATAGTTACAAACATTTGATTGGTCCTAAGAGCAGTGTTTGTGACTTTCTAGTACGCTTTTATTACAAAACACGTCGTTATTCAAAACGATTTGTGTTTGTTTGTTCTCCTAAAATGAGCATAACTTTTTTTTGTAATACAGATATTTTAATTCTGCTTTTATTATTAAATTTAACATTAAATTACCTTCATTTGACATATAAACGTTTGTATTTAAGTGAAAATTAATATATTCTACAAGCACACAAAGTTGAAAAGCATGAAACTTTCAAAAAATGTCCACATTTTTGGCCACTACTGTATATAAAGATAAAAAGAATACAAGGTAACGAATATAAAGATAAAGAGAATGATACGAATATAAAGAGAACGAAATGGCTGGGAAACACATGCATTAAAATAGAGAGTTAAAAAAGGACTTCGAATCAAATTCTGTTGATTCTGGTTCACGCAGAAGACAGAAAGTAGATGGTTGGAAGATGTTGAAACGCGTCTGAAAAATGTGAAAATTAAGAAATGTATATCTAAAGCACAGAACCGTAAAGAATGAAGAACTGTTCTGAGGCAGTCTCAAGTCTTCAAAAGACTCTTAAACCAAAGAGTGGAAGTATATGAAAAAGAATCTTCTTTTAAAAACAGCGCCGTCAGAAAGTTTTCCGAATAATATTTTATTTCATAGTATAAACATTGGAGCAAAAAAATTTATATTTTATGAAACTTAGAAGAACATTTTAAGTAGGCATCATATGAGTGACTTAAGGAAAATTCAGTTCTAGCTCGTATGAAAGCATCATTCAAAAATGTTTTTCATCCAAGACATTTTGCTTTTATTTAAATAATTGGAAAACAGTTAGCAATAACATAGTTTTAAAAAGAAAAATACTGTTTTTTTTTCGAAACATCATGTATAGAGCTGGCGAACTGGAAGTACTAGCTCTCCGAAATAGTATGTAAAATAAAAATTAAAATAACACATGTTTTTAAAAAATTTTCTAACAATTAAAAACATTATATTAAAACCTCAGAATCAAGTATTTTATGTATCTTCAAAGTATTTAAATACCATTATAATCAAAATCATTTAAAGTCTAAGGTTAAAGCATATATTTTGTTACTTTAAATAATTACGGATTTAAAATGTTTTTTTTTCCCTGAACCTTTTATTTATATAACCGGTATGCAAAGAAATCATCCAGTATTCATCTCAATCAAAAATATTCGAGTGGAATGTGTGTATCCATGCATTTGACGTGATTTTACCACTTTGATAGAATATGATCTCTGTGTGTTTGGAAGAAAACAGATGACTCTGTCTGATTTTGCAATAACTCTAAATTTTTCTGTAATTGAATATCTGTTGCTAACATAAGCGTTCTCTGAACAAACATAATATTTTGATTCTCTAAAGATGAGGGATAAAAAAAAATACGGCTTCAAATTTATAATCGGGCCAAAACTTTTGACACCTTAATGTTATTTTTGCTTTTTACTTGCTTTGCTATATATCCAACACCATCTGTGTGTATCATAAGTTTTGTTTTCCTAATATAATTTCTTCGCAAAAAGACACTTTTTTATAATAAATACCAGAGACCTCTTGTAGCAACGATAGTCAACGCAATTCAATGGGTTTGACTAACTTAATTATTTAATAAATTTTAAGACTAGCGTCAATTTTCTTACCGACAAATGCATGAACTCTAGCAGCGTGTTATGATTTCATCTACTGATATGTATGCATAAAATGTATATAACAGGTTTTGAAAAGAAGGAAAGAGATAACAGGCTTTTTCTCCTTTTCAAAACCTGTTATATTTTTACATATTAAGTCTGTTATTTTTCAAAATATTACCAACTTTACTATTCAAATATTGTAAAACGATCATTAGTAAGGTGCTTTTTTTCATAAATTAAAGTGTAAGGTTAATTAAAATAAGAATGGTTGTGTTTGCTAAATATTATATTTCATTTAAAAATGTTTTTCATTTTGCAATTTGTTTCAATAACGGTTGTTTTAATATTTTCTGTAATTTCAATTCTAGTCCAAAACAGATCTTCAAGAATGACCTCCGTCCAGTTGATACCACTGTATCTGCTGTTGATCATTTCCCTGAAGTTTATGGCTGTAATCAGTTCGGGTGACCCTTTTGGATGACAGTGCTATGAATTCTAAAATACAACTCATTGAACCCCAACTGTGATATTTAAATGTATGGATCAAGCTCTCGTCGACGTGCCTATTCTGTCATAGATTATATGTTTGTGTTGGAAAATGTTTACTTTTTTGTCTGCCAAAAGACTCAGACAAAAAACTTCGATTTGAATGTATGAACTCTGTAAGAAAGCTTTACACATGAAAATGTTAAGCATTTCATCAATGTTATACGTCATATTTATGTATTTTAGACAGTGTAGTAACAGTAATTGTTTACAAAAAAAAATAAACTGTCTTCTTGTTCCTTATCTCGAAGTTTCAATTTATTGTTTTTCTCTTTAACCCTTTCGCAAAGACTGTTTCGTATTCGTGCCAGCATGAAACATTCTGATCTCCCAGCCGACAATGCCAGCGTGCCAGAGCGATTTCTCGTTCACTCCCAGTCATCACATATTTGTTTTGGAACGTTTAAAAAACTATTATTTTATGCACAAGATGGCATTGTATGTACAGTGCTTAAAAAAAAGACCATCCTTAATAATTTTCGATCTAATAATCGGATCTTCACATTCTAGGATTCCATCTTGATGGCTTGATCTCAAATATGATAATTAATTAGTGCAGACGATATTTTCAATTACGAAATCAAGCACAAAACGTGCTATCTCTTAACAAGTACGCCTCTTTTATGATGGATATATATATATATATATATATATAAGTTCAAAATGAAGAATAAAACAA